AGACTCGCGGCAGATTCCTCCTCCACCACTGACATCATCCTCGGCGTCCCTGAGCTCAAGGAGCTTGCCACAAACCCTGACATCTGCCTGCACTCGATCCCCTCTGCCTGCTTCGACGATGTTCTCATGACGTGCATGACTACAACGAAGACCACGTCCACCTCTCGACACAGTCTCCTCCCTCGGACCCCATCCTGATCCCCACCATCGAGACACGTCTCATCATTGCACGCCAAGACCCCATCCAGCGACTCTACCCCCTCGATATCACCCCCAGGGAGCAGAAGAGATCAGCGCTGTCTGCATTCACGAGCACCAATGCACATGCGGCACCTCCGCCCAAGAATGTCAGGTACGTTATCCCTGCATCTGCTTGTTCTTTGTCTAACATCCTGCAGACGTGTTGCTCCCACTCACACCACTCCTCAAGTCACTCATGTGGTGCATCTGTAAGTCCCGCCGCTCCTTCACTTGCATCTAGCCAACGTGTCCATAGCGTTGCCGCTTTGACTACGTGAAAAGCAAGGCCATACCTTCTTCCAATGCTTCAAAGTGTTGGAAATGTTTGGAAAGACAGTTTCTGGCAAGGGTGCAGCAGCAACGTCCCAAGTTGCTTCCAATGCAAGTGTTCTCGCTCATTCAAATGCATCCTTTGCTGACAAGAGATGGAATTCAGACTCAGGGGTCACTTTGCACATGACTCACTACTGTGAGCATCTGTTGAACACCCGTCCACACAGAATTCTAATTCAAGTTGCAAATGGAGTTGTAGTTTATTCTGAATTGGTGGGGGAGATACTGCTTAGGCCACTTATACACGGACGTAGTAGCCGGCCTATTATCCTCACAAATGTCCTATATGTTCCCTTGTTGTCTCATAATCTCATCTCTACCACCTATTTGTCTCGCATTCATGGCTACTCTGTTGTCATGAAGGGATCCACTATCTGCTTCAATTGAGGTGGAGTCCTGTTGTTTGAAGTGGACATTGATGAGAGGAACCAGGCATTTGTGAGAGAGGTCGTAGTTTCATCTTCTGCTTCAGCTCTGGCCACAACAACCTTGCCTCTTGATCTTGACCTGCTGCATTGTCGGCTAGGCCATCACTCTGATACTCAGAAGATCTTGAGCAAGAATCTGGTAACTAGTGCAAAGATCACTTCAAACCAGAAGCCAGATAGCCTTGTCTTGCAGGCAAGCTGAATGCAGCTCCATTTCGTTCCACTGGACATTGTTCTGCAGCTCCTCTTGATCTCATACATTCTGATCTGAAGGAATACAAGGTCTGGACCCGAGAGGGTTACAGATATTGTGTTCTCTTCATTGATGATCATACAAGCTTCAAAATGCCACTCCATATGAGGTGCAAGAGTGGTACTTTCAATGCCTTCAATCATTTTGAATGCAAGATCAAGGCGCTGCCGGAAGATGAAGGTGGGGAGTACATCTCCAACAAGTTCAGGGACTAATTGCTCTCTGAAGGCATTGTGCGCCATCATGATTCAACAAGGAACAGACTGCAGCAGAATGGAACAGCAGAGCATGCTAACCGCACTGTTGATGAGCATGTCACAGCTATGCTGCATGAAGCCAATCTGCCTCCATCATTCAAGGCAATGGCTGTTGATTCTTACATCCATGTGGCCAACATGCATCCAACATGTCATATTCTGGAGAACACCACTGTCAGACACACTGGCCAATACACTTTAGAAGTGCAGAGAAAGCCAAGGTCTTACTCAAGCTCAGAGAGGAGGAGAGGAGATGAGAGGATGGAATGAGCACTGTATTGCTAGTGGAGATATGACCAGCTCAAGACTAGAGAACTACAACTACAACAGGCTGTATATATATTACTACAAGTGCAATAGATGGTGCAATAACGATGCAATGGATCAATAAGCTATCAGTCAGCATGGGAAAGATATGTAAGAGATCTGTAAGCTTCATGGGAAAGATGAGTAAGATCTCAGTCAGTGCTCAATCAGTGCTCAGTAAGCGTAACTAAATATAGTGTCTACTATGATCTACAGTGCAGACGGCCATGGATAAGGTCAAAGACAGCCAGGACAAAGTCAGATCAGATCAGATAAGGCCAGATAAGCTCAGATCAAGTCCGATCAGATTAGATAAGAAATCTGTTCATGACAATCACTCCTCATGAGCTTTGGTACAAGCAGAAGCCTGACGTGTCAGACCTTTGGGTGTGGGGCTGCCTTGTCTATGTGCCTGTGCAGAGGGACAAGAGAGACACCTTGGGGTGCCATTTCCAGAAGTGCATCTTTATGGGCTATCCTACGGAGTACAAGGGGTGGTCATTCTATAATCCTATGACCCAAAAGATGGTCATTGCAGAGCATGCTGTCTTTGATGAGTGCTACTTTCCTGGGAACAAGCCTCAACTGATGAGGCTCTGTCCCAAAGATCCTTCATCTCCATTCCTCAACCTCCCTCCTTCTGTGGCAAAGCCATTGTCTGTGCCCTATGACAATGATGATGATGATTCTGGTGTTTATCCAGCATCTGCAGCAATTCCCAATCCTCCATCTCCACCTGCCTCTGAGCCGTCTACCCACCCTCCTTCATCTGCTCCAGCTCCTGAGCAACCTCCTTCACCCATTGGAGTTGTTGCACGTCACCGCTTCCATGGACAAGCCACAGAGCATCAACCTGCAGGGGAGTGGTGGCAGCTGCCTAAAGATTCTCCTGCCTACAGGAACCACAGAGATCCTCCTGCTGAGGCAGCATTCATGTTGTAGTGCATCAGGGCAATCCAGTCAGTTGTAAGCTGTGGAAAACCCATGTTGCTTCTGTGCAGTATGCTCAATCTGCTGTTCAGTCTGGCAATCCTCGCTCCTATCATGAGGCACAGATGTATAAAGCGCAAAAGATTGACTGAACTGGGACTTTCTCATTACATGCAAGATGCTCTTACCCAACTGAGCTATTCTGCCGATAGAAGGACCTCCAACAAGATGCGCATCTTTGGCAGGATGCAGCCGTCTCAGAGATCAACTCTCTTCTAGAGAACTGCACTTGGGATGTTGTGGATGCACCTCCTGTCTCAAGCCAATTTTCTCCCAGTGGGTCTTTGTGATCAAGGGAGGTGAAAAGCCCAGATCCATTTCACTGTCATTACAAGTGTAGCTCTTATATTACTGAGAAGGATTACAAATAGCTGAGTGAGAACATGATGTCAGGCTGATAAATAGGCAAATTGGAAAGCTGTCAAGGTATATGATGACAGTTTATAAGTCCACCTGGGTATACATCTAGTGGTGAATAATAGTCCAACCACCTTAGTTATCTGGTTTATCATCTTCTTGGCTGTGCATCATGCCCAGTGTGCTTATCTAGCATGGGATAGTTCTTGATCCACCATAAAATACCCAGGTAGTCATCCCAGTGATTCCTGTGATTCTGGGGTTAGGGACTAAGTGCCTTACAACTAGGGGGTTCAGTAGTATTACACTTTTCTTAGCTATTTAGCTACATCTAGGACTCTTCCATTACCTACATCTTCTTTTCAACATACTCCTGAGGGCATCATGTCTGATTCAGACTACTCCTCTCGCCCCTGTGCTCTCTAAGGAGACACCTTATTCAGAGTGAAGGAGTAAAGCCTACTTGCATTGCAAGGAGGGTCCTCTGATGCAGGGGCCAACGAGAAGTGTGCTGGCTTTCTGTGGTCAATGCTGTCCAAAGATGTTAAGCCACTTGTCATTTGAGTGAAAGTTATCTGTGGTAGCACAGTCTTCAGGGTCAATAACAGAATGGAGGAACATTTTCTGCTGGATATTGATTGCATTGAAGTCTTGGAATCACTGGAGCCATTGGGTGTTGGAATCAGTGATTGGACCATGCCATTCTCACACTTTGATATTCATCTGATAGCTATCTTATTGTTGTGATACATATCTTATTGTTGTGATACAGATCTTATTGTGTTGATACACATCTTATCTAGTGTAGACCTGAGTCCTCAGTTTCTCACTGTTGACTTCAAGCAAGTAGCTAGTCCACATTCTCTCACTCATGAATAGAGTTTCTCACTGTTAACTTCAGTCCATTGTGCTTGCCTGTTTAACATTGGGACTCTGAGTCCATGTCATTGAGGAAAACCATCCCTTTTCAAAGACAGTTAGCAATAGGACTGTTAAACAGGCAAGCACAATGGACTGAAGTCAACAGTGAGAAACTGAGGACTCAGGTCTACACTAGCCTACTTATATATGTGCTAGAACAATAAGCAACAGTAGAACAATAAGAACAATAGAACAATAAGATGTGTATCAGGACAATAAGATCTGTATCACAACAATAAGATAGCTATCAGATGAACATCATCATGTGAGAATGGTATAGTCCAACCACTGATTCCAACAAGGACTCACTCTATATCCTGTGGCAAGGTATTGAGCAGCTCATGGATAACTCCCACTCTGATGATGGGACCATTGTGTTGCATGAAGTAGTTCAAATTTGGCTATGAACTGCTTTCACTGCTGGGGTTGGGCTGTTGTCTATGGCTGTGGATGTCCTTGTATGGGAGAGGAAGGTCTCCCCATTTGTGTTCACTGACGTGATGGAAGCTTCGGAGGTGATACACACAATGAGCAGAGTTGGTTCAGATAGGCAAAGCCCAGGTCATCCAAGAATCTGGGCTTTATTATCAAGATCAGTGCAGTGGTTTGTTCAGCGGAAATGTGAGAGTGAAAAAGATTGAGAGCAGGCTTATGTGACCTTTGGGATCCTTTGATTCCCAGTATATTCCTCCCCAGATTGGCTTCCATCCACATACATGCCATCTGAGTCATCCTGCTCATCATTGGCTGAAGCTTGTCCTGCCTTGTATATCAGAAAAATGCAGAAGAAGACAGTGATTTGCACCAACCACTATTGCTTTGCTAATGAGAGCCAGGAGAGACCAGAGTGGGAGGATGTGTGGGTGATAGGCAATGTGTGTTGAAGGTCCTTCTGGGGGCTCCCTTCACACTATTGGCAGAATAGCTCAGTTGGATAAGAGCATCTCGCATGTAATAAGAAGGTCCTGGGTTCAATCCCTGGTTCAACCAATCTTTTGCACTTTAATAGTGTGGACACCTGTTATATCTGTGTAGCCAACCTCCACTACTCCGCTCCTCTGATACCAGACATGGTCGGCGGCACCTCGGCTCTCTGGGTTTTTATGCAATGAAGGTTTACTGAGCATTTCCCATTTATCTGATATTTTTGCTTCTCCACTATTGTTTAACTTTGACTTCTTATCTTCCATTCTATTTATATATCATGTTTAATGCTTCTTTACTTTATTTAGGATTACAACAACATACCTTACTATAAAAGTTATGATACTTACTTCCATGTACTTCAGTTTGATTATTGATGTTGCTTTGCATTCTGCCTCGCTCTGAGTCATTCCAACCTTCACTCAACTCCAGTCCTCCATTCCGTACTCCGTCTCGCCAGCCCAGGTAGTTCACACACCCTTACCTTACTGTGGTGACTGTACACTAACCTTGTTGTACTCTGAACTCCAGCTCCAGTATTCACTCCAAATGCTGGTTACAGTTCCCCTTCAGCTTGGTATATAACAACACCAAGACTCCAGCAGTGGCAAGAGGTGAGGCGTTGACAAGTGATTGGCCAAAGCTAGCAAAACTTTGGCAATGTCAGTGGTACCCCAATTCAAACCACTGGCTGCTCCTTGAAAATTTGGATTCCAAGTGCTGTCAGATGCCATGAGATGACTTCTGAGCTGAGGGATTTTGTTACAGTTCCAGTCAAAAGAATCCGTGACAACAAAGCATGTGCCCCCTATCTTGGCATTGATAGATAAGATGAAGAGGACCACATCAAGGAAAGTGGTGATAATGCATTGTGGAGCCCCTCCCACCATCCAGCGAGCTATACCCACAATGCAATGCTGCCGCAAAGTCAGGGCCTGCACACTTTAGGCCTACTACCTCTATATTTAATCCCTCGGCAACTCCTGAGCTGCTATTATTTGATAGCATTGCCGAAAAATATTACTTTCCCATCAAAAGATGCTGGATTTAGAGCTTGCAACCGTCTATCAATTGTTGCGTCCCCAAACTGTACATTGCAATCAAATATACCTACTTGCCTGCCAAAACCCTTTCCATGACATCTCATGATTGCTGCCATCAAAACCAGGTACCCTTTCCCTGACATCTCAGCATAGTCGGCCCCGCCATCAGAACCAGTTGTCCGTCAGCCTAATATCTCTGCATACTTGACATATCTACACATTGACTACTCCACCAGGTCTTCTTCGTCATTATCATTGTACTCATTGTGCTCAGGCACGACCCCCTCATTGTCCTCCTTCTGCCTGATCCCAGCCCATTTGACCTCTAGGAGCGCACACATGGTTATCTCGTGCTTGGTCTGCTCACGTACGTAGGCCACCAAGCCCTCCTGTAGCTCGTTGCTAGTGACCAGCGTGCACACGACCGAGCACTCCACCCACTCTGCCACTGCCCAGTATCCGAACTCAATCTGCTTCATCCGGATCTGTTGTCTTCGCGGTGTACCATATCCACGACAGTGTGCACCGCATTTTGCCTCCTGCACACGCCTCAAGCTCCTCTACTCCCCCTTCCACGACCTCCCCGAGCTCCTGCAGCACTTTCCGTCTCTCCTTCTCCTCTTCAGTCATGGCTCTCTCGCTAAGCGCCTGCACATCCTCCTCCAGCGTCCTCAAGACCTTCTCCCACAGGCCATGCTCCTTCAGACGAAGTAATGTGTTCCATGCATAACAACAAAGCAGCTTGGTCTTGTGTAACTGCACATTGATCTGGTGCAAAAGCCCTTGACCCTGCATAAGGGCTCGCTGTCCGGTCATATTCCAGATGCAGAAACAATTTGTCATCATCCATGTGCGCAATGCCTGCTGCAATTCCTCCAGTGCCTCACGCACCTCCCCTTCCTGCAGCTCCACCTCAATGCCTGGCAGGCCCAATGCACACGCACGCCCCACTTCGTCTTGTCTGCGATGTCTGATGGCATGAACAGGCGCACTGTCTCCACGTTGCAGTGTGCCTCAGAGTCCCACAGGACATGTTGTGACAACAATACCCGCAGATTGGGGATATAACGGTGCACTTGAGTGTGGCCTATGCTAGGACTGATATAGAGTGATGCAAAACACCAAACCAACCAACCAACACACACACAACACAGTGCGGACTTGAGTTCAGGTCTACGCTGCAGTATACGACTAAGATTGAACCAACACTTATGGATATTGGATGAATTGAACTTCAGAGTCTGTTTAGGACTTGTGGGAGGCAACAATAGTTGATAAACAACTGAGATGGGCTACCGAGTTACCGAAGCAACGGGGTTTATATGGGTTTTATGTGTTCCTAAGAACGGGCTTTACTTCCTAGGATGCTACTGTGATCACTAAGAGTGGGTATAGGGGACTGCGACCACACCAATTCGTGGAGTTCCAGCAGAGGACCTGTGTGTACATACAACAGATACCTTTTAGACGGTATTGCGATGCTACCAATTCGTAGAATGCCAACAATAGACCTCGGCTCTCAGGCACTGAGGTACCTTTGTACTGCGACCGCACCAATTCATACAATTCCAACAATAGACCTTGGTATACGAACCAAGGTACCTTTAGGGTTGTTAGGATTTAGCGTTTTACGAGCGTAAGTCAGTAGTAGATACTGAAGTCGTGAGTGATGTTTTTGTAGTTTAGCAAGTTAGTTGTAAGTCGTAAGAGCGTATCTGAGTAGAGCAGATAGCAAGATTCGTAAATTCTCAATGCGAGTGAACTCAAACTTAAATCAGTCAAACAGAATCACACTACACGGGTGACCTTGTAACTCAGTGGGCAGCGGCTTAACAAGAGTATACAAGGCACTAAGTTCCTATAGGCAGCAAGGCTAGGTCTTAGTTTGAATCAGCTATAGGCTATATGAGCTAGCTTCTTCGAAAGTTGGGTGCAGAAGTGCTACGTGATGGATTGAAGTAAAGATGTGGTGCCGTCACATGAGGATAGGCTCTCATATATATAGGTAAGGATTGTGGATGCTAGAAGGTTCTTCATAGCAGGAGAACATTCTTGTGAGGTACTAGAATATTCTATAACACAGAAATAATGAATGTGCTACAGGGTTGCACAAATGTTCTAGAATATTCCAGGGAGTCCAAGATTATTCTCAAAACATCTCATAGGTGCTGTATGAGTAAAGAAACATCTACATAGATTGGCCATGCACTTAACCATAAGGGTTTAGCACTTAAAGAATGTGAAAACATGTGGGAAACATGTTTTTATAGTGAGCACGAGTTCAAATCAAGCTCTGATGGCTCCGATCAAATATTGATGGATGTAAACATACTGAATCGCAAGTCATTCTGAGGTTGAATGACTGGTTCAACAATTCGATCTTAAGCTCAGAATAGTAAGTGAGAAGTGTGCCTTCACTCTAGAACCCAAAAGCGAATTTTAAGAACAGTAATATACAAGGATATTCAAAAAGCACTATGAATTCCATTACATGTTATATTCCATAACAAGGGTACTGTGACTGCACCAATTTGTACGATTCCAACAGCAGACCTCAGTATACAAACTGAGGTACCTTTGGGGTACTGCGACCGCACTAATTCATATGATTCCAACAGCAGACCTCAGTATACAAACTGAGGTACCTTTTCACTAGCAGCAGCCGCTACAAGCAAGCTTGGTACTTAAAGCTTTCAAAGGTAGCCAACAATCAAAGGTCTTATATTGAACAGATACAGAAGATATGAGTTAACAAATCTCTGCAGCTAGCCCAAGAGTACACCAATGCCTTGACAAGCAGTGCTTCAACCAAAGTCTAGGCAATACTGGGGCATGATGTCCTCCTGAACTGCAGGATCTAGCTGGGGTTTTATACTACTTTGAGAATACATGACAGTGAGATATGAGTAAACAGAAATAATACGAAATGAGTAACTGAGTAGGGAGTATTGGAAATTCGGAGAAACGGCCGGTTGTGCCGCCATGATTTGTAGCTGAAACTGCCGAAACAGTCATCAAGATGACTCCTAGGAGCCATCTGAGTCTTCCTAGGAAGGTAAGCTGTTCCTAGGAGCAACAAAATAACTGGTTTACACACCTAGGCGCAGACCCACTGTCAGCAGGAGGCGGGGTGGGCATAAAATCAGACTGTGGGTATAGCATAGGTAACTTGCAGAAATCAATGACAAAATATTGCAGTAGGGACGGGGCGGCAGGGCAGGAGACATCAAGCACTATTAATGGACCATCAGAAGTCCCGAACCAATCATTGTGAGGGCAGCCATGGGAGGCGGGGTGTGGTATAATTACAGAAGACTTTGATAGGGCTATGTCTGAAGAGGTGAGCTCCCAGTGTATTTTGATAAGCGATAAATGCTGCTGGGGGCGTGGGCCCAAATCAAATTTGATGGCACATCAAATTTGTTTGTGTGGGGAGCGGGCCTGGTGTGGGAGGATGCAGTTTTGCAAAGGGTGCTGGTCAGCGACTAATTTGGTGAGGGGCAGGCCCTAATGATATTTGATGTGCCATCAAATTAATACCCTAGGCAGACATACATCACTTTTGATGGAGCATCAAACTAGTGTGTGGGGGCAGGCGAGGCGTGGGGCACAGATCATTTTGATGGGACATCAACTGGTGTGTGAGGGCAGGCAGGGTGTGGGATACATATCAGTTTTGATGGAAACTGCTCCCTGTTGATGGGCTGGGACAGCCACTAGGACAGATTTGGAATGGTAGCCGAGGATGTACTATTATTAGATAAAGTATACAAAAAGGGAACGGGATCATGAATATTAGAAACCGCAATGGGAAGGGCAGGCACCCATCAAAAAATTACTGTTTTGGGATGCAAAATATAGCATTATATTACCCAAATATATTAAAACATCGCCCGGGCCACCCGATTGGGCTGAGCCACAGACTTCACGGTGGCATTGAGAAGTTGATTGACACAACACCATGAGGGAACCACAGAACATTAATAGATCGGACAGCTGTCAAAGTCTGACAGAGAACCACAA